TTTTCCCAGATAAGGCATTTATTAGCAATAATATTTGGTGGCTTTTTTTTTTTTTTTTTTTTTATGCTTTCAGAAGTCACCAAAGTTCGAAGAAATCTCTTCAACCAGGAAATGATTTCTCCTTCAAAGAGATCTGTGAAGCAGGGGTTGCCTAGAAGCCATTCTGTGTCAGCTGTGGAAGGTCTGGAGTATAAACTTGACAACTTCAAGAGGACCAAAGGTACTACATTTTAGGGTTACTAAGAGAAGGAGGTTCTTGGACCCAAATCAGTCCCCAGGCTCTCTTGTTATAGAAGCTTGTTAATCTTATGTGTTTTCCTCTCCCCTGTGGTTACCATCAGTTAATTTTCCCCTTGGGGTCTCTCCCCCTCCAAGCTTAGATGAAGAATTAATCCTGGTCTCTCTCAATCCTCCTTTCCTAGTTGCCCCTACAGACCAGCATCTATTTTATAAAACCAATTATAAAGAAATGAAGGCTAGTGACCAGTTTTATAGTCCTTTGGGTTTTTGTGTTGCTTTTTTGTTCTTTTTTAATAATTGAGATATAATTTGTGTACCATAAAATCAACTCTTTTAAAGTATGCAATTCAGTGGTTTTCAGTATATTCACAAAGTTGTGCAACCATCACCACTAATTCTAGAACATTTCATCACTCCAGAAAGAAACCCCATACCCTTTAGCAGTCACTCCCTGTTTCCCTCTAACCCTCTCAGCTGTAGGCAACCACCAGTCTACTTACTGTTTCTATGGATTTTCCTATTGTGGATATTTCTTATAAGTGGAATCATACAATATGTGGTCCTTGTAACTGACTTCTTTTACTTAGCGTAATGTTTTCAAGGTTTATACATGGTGTAGTATATTTCAGTACTTCATTGCTTTTTATTGCTAATAATATACCATTGTACGGATAAACTACATTTTGTTAATCCACTCATCACTTGGTAGACGAACATTTGAGTTGTTTCTACTTTTTGGCTATTGTGAATAATGCTGCTATAAACATTCATATACAATATTTTGTGTAGACATGTTTTTAATTCTCAGGCGTATGCCTAGAAATGAAATTGCTGTGTTATATAGTAACAATGTTTAACTTTTTGAGGAATCACCAAACTGTTTTCCAAAGCAGCTATACCATTTTACATTCCCACTAGCAACGTATGAGAGTTCCATTTTCTCTACATATCCTCACTACCACCATCTATTGTCCCTTTTTTTGATTTTACCCATCCTAGTGGGTGTGAAGTGGTATCTCGTTGTGGTTGAGTTGCATTTCCCTGATGACTAATGTTGTTGAGCATCTTTTCATGTGCTCTCTGGCCATATGTATATCTTTTTTGGAGAAACGTTTATTCAAATCTTTCCCCATTTTTTGAATTGTCTTTTTACTATTGAGTTGTAAGAGTTCTTTATGTAGTCTACATACTAGTCCCTTATCAGATATATGGTTTGCAAATATTTTATCCCAGTCTTTGGGTTGTCTTTTCACTTTCTTAATAGTGTCCTTTGATACACAAAAGGTTTTTAATTTTGATGAAGTCTTCAATCAGTTTATTTATTTTTGTTGTTGCTTGTGTTTTTGTTCTAAAAGACTATTACTTAATCCAGGTTTTATAGTTTAAGCTCATACATTTAGGTCTTTGATCTATTTTAAGTTAATTTTTGTATATTATTTTGTATGTGACAGGAATCCAATGTCATTCTTTTGCATGTGGTTGTCCAGTTGTCCCAGCCCCATTTGTTGAAAACACTATTTTTTCCTCATTGAATTGTCTTGGCATCCTGGTCAAAAATCAATCAATATTTGTTAGGGTGGTTAATTGTTTTTTAAATGTTAGGTAGAATTCAGCAGTGAAGCCATCTAGTCCTGAGTATTTCTTTGTGAGAAGATTTTTTTTTTTTTTTTTTTTTGGTGAGAAAGATTAGCCCTGAGCTAACATCTGTTGCCAATCCTCCTCTTTTTGCTGAGGAAGATTGGCCCTGGGCTAACATCCGTGCCCATCTTCCTCTACTTTGTATGGGATGCTGCCACAGCATAGCTTGACAAGCAGTGTGTGAGTCCACACCTGGGATCCAAACCTGTGAACCTGGGCTGCCGCAGCAGAGTGTGAAAACAACCACTACGCCACCAGTCCAGCTCCTGTGGCAAGATTTTTGATAACTAATTCCATCTTTTTACTTGTTATAGGTTTATTCAGATATTCTATTTCTTATTGAGTCTGTTTTCAGCATTTTATGTCTTTCTAGGAATTTGTCCATTTTATCTAGGCTATCTAATTTGCTGTTATACAGTTGATCATAGTATTTCCTTATAGTCCTTATTATTTCTGTAAGGTTGGTAGTTATGTTCTCTTTTTCATAGTAATTTGAGTGTTCCCTCTTTTTTCTTGGTCAATCCAGCTAAAAGTTTGTCAGTTTAATGATCTTTTCAAAGAACCAACTCTTGGTTTCATTGATTTTTGTATTGTTTTTCTATTCTTGATTTCACTTATTTTCTATGTAATCTGTAGTATTCCCTTCCCTTGACTTGCTTTGGTATTTGATCTTTTTCAGTTTTTTAAGGTTAAGGTTAGATTATTGATTTGAGATCTTTCTTCTTTTTTAATATGGGCATTTACAGGTACAAATCCCCCTCTAAGCATTGCTTTAGCTATATCCTGTAAGTTTTGGTATGTTGTGTTTTCATTTTCATCATCTCAAAATATTTTCTAATTTCCCTTGTGATTTCTCCTCTGACCCATTGGTTATTTAGGAGTGTGTTAATTTCCACATATTTGTGAGTTTCCCAAATTTTGGTCTGTTATTAATTTTTAATTTCATTCCATTGTGGTTGGAAAACATACTTTGTATGATTTCAGTTTTTAAAAATTTACTGAGACTTGTTTTATGGCCTAACATTTGGCCTATCCTGGAGAACATTCTATATGTGATTGAGAAGAATGTGCATTCTGCTCTTGTTGGATGGAGTGTCCTGTAGATGTCTGTTGGTCTAGTTGGTTTATGGTGTTGTTCAAGTCTTCTATTTCCTTGCTGATCTTCTATTCAATTGTTCTATCCATTATTGAAAGTAGAGTATTAAAGTCTCCAACTATTATTGTTGACTTATCTATTCTTCCCTTCAATTCTGTCAATTTTTTGCTTCATACATTTTGCGGCTCTGCTGTTAGATGTGTAATGTTTATAATTGTTGTATCTACTTGATGGATTGAACTTTTGATTAATATGTAATGTACTTTGGCTTTTTAACCTTGTTTGATTTAAAGTCTATTTTGTCTGATAATAATATAACCATGCCAGCTCTCTTTTACATAAAATATCTTTTTCTATCCTTTTACTTTCAACCTGTTTGTATCTTTGTATCTAAAGTGAGTCTTGTAGACAGCGATGCATTTACATTTAATGTAATTACTGATAAGGGACTTCTGCCATTTTCTATTTGTTTCCTATATATCATTTACTTTTTTTGTTCTTCCATTTCTCCATTACTGCCTTTTTTGTATTTAGCTGATTTTTCTAGTACACTTTTTTGATTCCGTTTGTCTTTCCTTTTCTATCTGTGTAGTTACCTTACCAGTGTTCTTTATTTCTCCTTATGGCTTCAAGTTATTGTCTAGTGTCCTTTCATTTCAGCCTGAAGCACTCCCTTTAGCATTTCTTATAAGGAAGATCTACTGATAATGAACTCCTTAACTTTTGTTTCTTGGGAAATGTCTTAATTTCTGCTTTATTCTTGAAGGATAGTTTTTGCCAGATGTAGAATTCTTGGTTGACAGCCCTTTTTCTTTCAGGATTTTACATATGTCGTCTCACTGCCTTCTGACCTCCAAGGTTTCTGATGAGGAATCAGCTGTTAATCTTACTGAGTGGCTTCTTTATTGCTGCTTTCAAGATTCTCTGTTTGTCTTTGGGTTTTGACAATTTGACTATAATGTACCTCTCTGGGTCTCTGAGGTTATCCTGCTTGGAGTTCATTGAGCTGCTTGGATGTGTAGATTCATGTCTTTCATCATATTTAGGAAGTTTTCAACCATTTCTTCAAATTTTTTTCTGCCCCTTTCTCTTTTTTCTTTCTAGGACTCCCAGTATGTGTATGTTGTAATGCTTGATGGTGTCACACAGTTTCCTCAGGCTTTGTTCATTTTTCTTAATTCTGTTGTCTTTCTGCTCAGACTGGATAATTTCAGTTGCCTTATCTTCAAGTTTACTGATTCTTATGCCTGCTCAAATTTGAGGCTGAACCCTTCTAGTGAATTTTTCATTTCAGTTATTGTACTTTTCAGCTCTAGAATTTCTGTTTGGTTCCTTTTTATAATTTCTGTCACTTTATTTGTATTCTCATTTTGTTCATACATTGTTTTACTGATTTTCTTTATTTCTTTGTCCATGGTTTACTTGAGCTCATTGAGCACATTTAGAAAATGTGATTTACTATCTTTGACCAGTGATTCCAGTGTCTGGGCTTTCTCACGGATGGTTTCTGTCAGATTCCTTTTTTCCTGTGAATGGGCCATATGCTTTATATGCTTTGTAATTTCCTGTTTCTTTATATGCTTTGTAATTCTTTGTTGAGAATTAGATATTCTGAATATTATAATTTGGTAACTCTGGAAATGAGATTCTCCCAGTCCTGAAAGATTGCTGATCTTTGCTTATTGAGGGCTGCAGCTGTCTGTTTGTGCATTTTCAAAAGTGTTTTTGCAAAGCGTGTATTCCTTGTATGTGGTCACTGAAATTTCTGTTCTCTTATCTCTGTAGTTAGCCAATGACCTGAAAAAGATTTCCTTAAATGTCTGGTTCCAAAAAGGGAAAAGTAAAAAGGTGTCTTGTCCCTTTAAATCTCCCAGTAGATGCAGTGGGGGAAAGCCGCTGCAGCCTAAGGGGGCCAAAAACAAGGCAAGCGTCTGCACCGGCCCCAGAGGGATCCACCTTGTGTCCAAAGCACACAACCCCGAATTTGGAGGACGAGGTCCCCACTATCTGCCCTACCACCAGCCAGCTAGCTGCTCCTGGAATGTGGGCCACTATCCCCACAGCTGCAGCAAGGCTAAGGAAAGGGAGGTGGTAGCTGGTTTGTGCACCTTGTTCCCTTACCAAAGATCAGTAGCCTCTCCCGTCATCAAGCACTTCTTGGTTATAATAAGCATCCAGTCAGGTTCTAGAGTTCCAAAATAGTGTATTCTGATCATTTCTTTCCTAGTTTATTTGTTGTTTTGGTGGAGGGACCAACCCCTAGAGCTTCCTGCTCCACCATTTTGTGTGATGTCACTCCCCCTGGGGATTACAATTAATGTCTTAATTTATAATAGCCTAGTTCAGATTAATACCAACTTAATTTCAGTAGTATACAAAAACTTTGCTCCCATGTAGTTCTATTTCCTACCCCCTCTTTTGTGCTATATTGCCACACAAATTACCTCTTTATACATCGTATGCCCATCAACACAGATGTATAATTATTGCTTTATCTTTTAACTCACAGGAGAAAAAAGTTACAAACAAAAAATACTTTTATACTGTCTTTTGTACTTACTTATGTGGTTACCTTTACCAGTGCTCTTTAATTCTTCACATGGATTCACGTTACTCTCTAGCGCCCTTTCTTCAGGCTGAAGCCTGAAGGACTCCCTTTAGTATTACTTGTAGGGCAGGTCTGCTAGTGTCAAATTTTCTGTTTTTTTTTTTTTTAAATCTGGGAATGTGCTAATTTCTCTTTCATTTTTGAACAATAGCTTTGCAGAATATAGAATTCTTAGTTGAGTCTTTTTTTCTTTCAGCACTTTGCATACGTCATCATACTACCTTTTTGTCCTCCTTTGTTTCTGATGAGAAATCAGCTGTTAAGCTTATCAAAGATCCCTTGTACATGGTGGATTGCCGCTCTCTTGATTCTTTCAAGATTCTCTCTTTCTTTTTGACTTCTGACAGTTTGATTATGATTTGTCTAGTGTGGATCTCTTTGACTTTATCCTGCTTGGGTTTATTGAGCTTCTTGGATGTGTGTCTTTCATCAAGCTTAGGAAGTTCTCAGCCAGTATTTCTTCAAATATTCTTTCTGTCCCTTTCTCTCTCTCCTCTCCTTCTGGGACTCCCAGTATGTGTATGTTGTTGTGCTTGATGGTGTCGCACGGGTCTTTGAGATTGTTCATTTTTATTCATTCTTTTTTCTTTCTGTCCCTCAGACTGGATAATCTCAATTAATCTGTCTTCAAATTTGTTGATTCTTCTGCCACTTCAAATCTGTTGGCAAGCACCTCTAATGAATTTTTCATTTTACATATTGTATTTTTCAACTTTAGAATTTCTAGTTGGTTCTTTTTTATGATTTCTGTCTCTTTGTTTTTATTCTCTATTTGGCAAGTCATCAGTCTCATACTTCCCTTAGTTCTTTAGCTATGGATTTCTTTAGTTCTTCGAACATATTTCAAATAGCTAATTTAAAGTCTTGGTCTAATAAATCCAACGTCTGGACTTCCTCAGGGACGATTTCTATTACTAATTTTTTTTTCTTTGTATGAGCCATACTTTCTTGTTTCTTTTCATGTCTCATATTTTTTGTTGACAACTGGACATTTTAAATAATATGATGAGGCAACTCTGCAATCAGACCACCCCTACTCTCCGCCAGGGTTTGTTGTTATTGCTTTTGTTTGTTTAATTACTTTCCTGAACTAATTCTTTAAAGTTTGTCTTCTGTCATCGTAGCTACTGAAGTCTCTCCTCAGTTAGCTTAGTGGTCAGCTAATGGTTGGACAGAGATTTCCTTAAGTGCCTGGGACCAATAAGTTTCCCAGCCTTTGCTGAGGGGCCCTATGTGTGTCTTTGCTCATGCCTTCAACCCTCAGCCAGACAGTTTACAACTCTACTTTCTGCTTTTCCAGAGCCTCGAGGTCAGCCGAAGATGTCAGTTTAGGGCCTTTTCGGGTCTATCCTGGGCATGCACACAGCCCTATAGCACATGGACTTTTAGGTTCCCAGGAATGTGTGAGTTTGCAGAGCCCTCTGTGGACATCTCATTCCCCAGTTTTCCCATTTCAACTTTCAGTCAGCTGTTGTTTGCCACAAGTGCTATCACTCCCTCTGGCAGCCACTATGTTTACAGTTGCTACTGATTGTTTTTGGTATATGCTCCCTGGGAAAAGGCTGTTTGCACTGGGTGAGTCCTGAGTCAGGTCAAAGAGAGACAAGCCTTGTGAGTGGGATTTTCCAGGGAACTGCCAGACAGGTCAAATCGTGACAGTTGTCTGGGCAGGGGGCTTTGGGGGAGCTTCAGTCCCATTCTGCCCCATCCAGAGGCTCCTGGGCTATTGGTTTTCACCATGATTGCAGGCTATTAGTTCTCAAGGCTACCATGAGGCTGGAGAGAGGGGGTTGGGACTTGGGCAAGTTAAAGTTCCACAAAACTCGCTATTCTTACTGAGATTCAGCCATTTTTGTTGAATAAATACTCCCTGGATTGTTGCAAACTAGTTAATTTCCAGAGTTCTGAAAAAGTTGATTTTGACCATTTTTATCAGTGTTCTCATTCCTTTTATGGAGGAGAGTTTTTTCAGAGGTCCTCACTCAACATTCCTACTGACATCACTCCTCGTTCTAGTCAATTTTAACTTCCTTAAAACCAGTCCTCCCATGAATAGCTTGACTACCTATTCTCAGAGAAAATTTATGCCAGCTAGATTTATCTTAATATTAAATATCTTAATATTTGCATGACGTATCAGCATTTTCACATACTTTATTTCATTTAATCATAAATACAAAAACCACCAACTAGGTGGACAGATGTGTTAGCCATAAGTGGGCGCTTGTCATTTTTTCAGGATTGCTTATTAGATAATAATTTTATAACATTTTACATTGGCTTATTTATTATTTAATCTCTAATAGTGCTGATAAACTGTTGTATCATGTTAAATTGAGTCCTATGGTTAGACCTTAGTCCCAAGACCATTACCATCTACTCCAGCTGAGTAATATGCAATGCACGAGTTCAAACAGCTCCTTTTGCCTTGCAGCTCCTTCTTGATAGGGCTGAGTGAAATTTATGCTGTTTATATTTTAGGTCATCACAAACTGCTGACTAAGAGTGTGGCTGAGACTCCAATACATAAGCAAACCTCCAGAAGGCTGCTTCATAGACAAATCAAGGGCAGGTGAGTGACATCCTTATCCAGCCTCTTCATACCTACACAGCCCTCCTAATTATCCTGGAGGCCACTGTTTAGCTTCTCGTGACCTTCGTGACTCAAGTCTTAACTCTGTTACTTACAACCAAAGAGCATTCTGTAAACTCGATGAGGGCTGGAGAACCACACAGAATGTACTCTTGTGTCTGGCTACTTTCACCTGGCGTAACTGTTTTGAGATTTATCCATGTTGTTACATGTATCAATAGTTCATCCCTTTTTATTGCTGAATAGTATTCCATTGAATGGATATTCCACAATTTTTAAATCTATTCTTGTGTTGACATGGGGAAAGAGGGAGTCTTCATTACTGCCAGGCCAGCTAGAAGTCTAGGCTCCCACCTTGGCCTGTGCTGACAGGGGTGTGAGGGGCCACAGTTTTCCATGGCACTTGGTTGGAGTAGCATCATTCTTGTCTGAAAATTTGTCTTGCTTGGCTGCTCCTTTCCTGGTTCTCTGGCTAGATAGAGCTGCCTTTCCTTAAGGCAGTTTTTATCTGCACCTCCTGGTGTATTTGGGTTGTGAGCTTCTCCAGCACCCAATCTGGGATCTATGAAGCAAAAAGGAAACTCCGGGAGCTCGCTGTTCTGTCTCTCCTTGGGTCCTGAGGTCCCCAGCCAGTCTACCTCTTCTCTCCACCTTTGAGAGTCTTCTTATGTTTGCTTTATATATAATGTCCAAGGTTTTTAGCTGTACTTAACAGGCAGAGTAGGGAGAGATGCGTCTACTCCATCCTGTCAAGGCTCTGTCTTGACATTATTTGTCTACAGATTTTATACACTTATGCAAGTTTATCTACAGGATAAATTACAAGAAGTGAAATTTGTGGGTCAGAAGGTATACACATTTTTAAATAATTTTGATGTTGCAAAACTGCTTTCCAAAAAAAATGTTCTAACCATTTCACTCGACAGTAATGTAAGAGAGTGCTTGCCCACACTGGTGTTATCAAACCTTGTGGTCTTTGTTACCTTGTGAGGTGAGAAGCTGTATCTCTTTAATGTGCATTAATTATGAGTGATATTGAATAATCCTGTGCTTGTTGTTCCTCCAGATCCTCTGATCCTGGTCCTGATATTGACGTTGTTGAAGAGTCCCCAGAAAAAGGAGAAAATGGTATTACCTACTTTTGTTTTATTTTTGGGTTTGGGGGGGTGTTTTGTGTTTTATCTACTTTCCATGAAAACTTTTGTGTACTTGTGTTGTCGCTCAGCATATCCTAAGATGTTTTACAGACATTGTGACAGCTCTGGGCCCACAGCATACATCAGTAAATATTTATTGGTGAATGGTCTCTTGCACAGAGTGTATTGAGGAAATTTCTGGCGAAGAAATATTTTTATGCAATAGAAATGGAATTCAGAGTGAGGGCTAACCTGCTATGTAATGCAAAGTGCTAAAGTTTATTTTTAAAGTATATACATGATGGGGGCCAACCCGGTGGTGTAGCCGTTAAGGGCGTGCGCTCCACCTTCGGCGGCCCGAGGTTTGCAGGTTCAGATCCCAGGCGCGTGCTGACGCACCACTTGTCAAGCCATGCTGTGGCGGCATCCCATATAAAGTAGAGGAAGATGGGCACGAATGTTAGCGCAGGGCCAATCTTCCTCAGCAAAAAAAGGAGGAGGATTGGCATCGGATGTTAGCTCAGGGCTGATCTTCCTCACACACAAAAAAATAAAGTATATGTATGATGAAGGAGGAGTTTCCAAAAACTAGCTTCTTTTTTTTTAATCAAGTAATTTATCTTTATTGTAGAAAAAGCAGAAAATATAGAGAAGCCAAAATTTTAATCATCACTTAGTAATCCCACAACTCAGAAATACTGTTAAAATTTTAGCTTTAATAGTACTCTTACAGATGTTATTTCTATACAAATATATGTAATAAACACATGAAAACTGCAATTTTTAAATTTAAAAATTTTTTTACAAAAGTACACTATACAGACTTTTTTTTACCCCACATCATGCTTAAAAGTGGCAGTTTATGAGACTTCTGGAGGTGACAGTCTAGTGGGTCAGTGTTTTTTTGTACCTTATTGGGGCCATATATCATATCCCTCTTAGCTTTGTTACACTTCAGAAGTCTCAAAGCCAATAGCTTGCCAACTTTCCATCTTGTATGTGGTATTACATAAAGTTTACCCATTTCATACATGGGAAAATATCAAGCTTGCATTTCTCTCTTCTTCTTACTGTGATTCCGGTTTTGTAGAAATAAGTGTGAGACGAAGTCCTCGAATCAAGCAGTTGTCATTCAGCAGGACAAATTCTGGTTCCTTCTATTCTGTGTCTCAGCCAAAGTCCCGCAGTGTGCAAAGAGTTCATTCATTCCAGCAAGACAAGCCAGGTAACGTGCTTGCCTACCTGTCTTCAAAAGTCCGTGCTGGCTTGGTGGGAAGTGTTTTTGAGAAAAGAAGTATGGAATTTGACATTTTCTTTCTTGACATTGGAGAAGTAGAGTAAATATGTATATTTGAGGTTCAGGGTGATGACCAGATGAACAGTCCATGGCCTTCATTATCAGAGTCATCCCTTTGGATTCCTACAACTGGTCATCCGCACTATCCTTGTAGGTAATTCATTCATTCAAGAGGAAATTACCTGTCATTTCCACCATATGTTCAGATCCTACACACGTGTCCCAGGTAGAAGGTGATATCTGTTTGTATGTCCTTCATTCTTTTATCCATCATTAGCTTGGATCATCAGATATGTGTTTTTATATTTACAAATTAAATTATTTTAGTCACCTACATTTCCTAACATAGGTGCTGGGGTTAATATGCAGTCTTATTAAAATGCAAGGTGGAAGCAATCATTGCAGTTGCTGACATAATTAGGTGGGATAGTCTCCCCAGTTGCTTCAAAAATTATTGTTTTCTTTCTTGCATGGTCTAGCTGTTTTATTAGAATTGAGAGGGCAGGAGTTGAGAAAGAATTAAATGTTGTCACTGTTTTTGTCTTGCAGACCAAAGAGAAAATTCTCCAATCCAAAGTATTCGGTCTCCCAAGAGCCTTCTTTTTGGGGCAGTGTCTGAGGTGATCAGTCCCTCAGAGAAGGGTTCAGCTCGAATTAAAAGGCCTTCAAGAAACACACTGGGTTCTGAGATACCTATAGCTAATCAGGTATAAAATTTCTATAATGCTTAATATAGTATAGTCGTGGGGAACATAGCAACATGGCCAAAGAAACCCACTGAGTCCATTCAAGAGAAAGCAGGTGATCTGTAGATGATAATAGAGATTTGGGATGGTGCAGGTTGACCCAGATAAATAATTATTGGGTATATTGGGACTTAAGGCAGCAGTTTAGCTGAGGCCAAGGTGGTGGGGAGGAGATAGAAATGATCTCTTGGCTTCGTCTACCATTTGTATTATACACTACATCTATATCTTTCTGACATGTGCCATATCATTCATCTGTTTCCGTTGGATTGCCCACTCATCTGGTCACCCGTGTTAGAAACCTGGGAGTCATCCTTGACTTCTCCATCTCCCCAGGAATAGCCAATCAATCAATCCTGCCCATTTTATTTACAAACTATCCCTCTTCTCCATCCCTGCAGTTCCTGCCCTAGTTCAATTCTGCCTGGAATATTTCAACAGGCTTTTCCCTCTCAAATCCATCCGGCCCCCAGAGGTCAGAGTGACCTCTGTGACCACATCAGATGCTCCTCTGACCACATAACTTTGCTTGAAGTTCTGTAGACTCTTCATCTGTTTAAAGCAGGGTTTTCTAAGTTTTCCTAAAATGGAACCCTGTGTTCAAAAATAATAATCTTGGTTTGGAAACCCAAAAAACTGCTTAGAGGTTGGGGAAGGACAGGTTGCTGTGGGGAAGGGTTTGAAAACCACAGATTTACAGGACCAGGTTCAGTCTCCTCCCCGGATAGGCAAGGGCCTCCATGGTCTGGTCCCTGCTGGCCTGGCTGGCCTCCACCCTCAGCCCCCTTTGCTTCATACTCTTCTCAGCAGCATCAGGCTGCACGCTGGCCTGCACACAACTGCTGTTTTTTGCTTTTGTGCCTTTGCTCACATTGTTTTCTGTGCCTAACATGCCCTCTCCCCTCTACCTTACCCTTTGCCTTCACCCACTGACACCCATTCTTGAAGACCTGACTCGCTATTCGTGTCCCCCGCCCCTAGCTGGGGTAGACAGCCAGCCCTCCCCTGTGCTCCCCTATTGCCCCATGCACGTCCCTGTCATTGCATTGGTCACATTGTATTATCATCTATCGATACCCCACTCAACGTGAAATGCTAACTAGACCAGGATTCCTTTGAGATGATGTAATAAGGTGGTAGAAATGACAGGTGTCTGACCTCCTTACCTGTTGGAGTGTTTAACTGCATTTTTGCCAGAAAGAAGGGAAATTTGGGGGGGTCGGGGGAGGAGTTGTCCTTTCTGAGATGTTATCTTTGTTGCTGTGCCTTATATCTGTGTATTCCATGCTCCACCCACACACACACAGACACACACACATTGCCTGGCACATAGTAGGTTGCACGTGTGGAATGCAGGTGAACAGCAGACGGTGTGGCACCTAGAGGCTGCAGTCAGCAAAGATCAGACGTAGCTGTCTTGTTGAGGAGAAAGATAGCTGTGAGTGGTGGAGTGATATAGTTAGAGGCAAAGCATGTTGTAGCCACAGTATGCCAATTAGTAAGATTATTTATTTGTCTTAGGAGAAGAGACAAAGACTGGATACAGTGGTTGGTGCTGGAAAAAGTGGCCAAGTAAAATCTGAGTCTTGTAAAGGAAGTGGACACATGTCACTATTTGAAATCCAACTGAAGCTCATTCCTTTGGCTGACTATAAATCTCCCACTGGCCTTTCTAATTGTCTCAGAGATTACTAAATACTCTTTAGAGAATAGAGATTATGATATTCAAACACTGAAATAAGCATTTTCTTTACAGACTCCTAAGAAGAGTTACCAGAAATCTCCAAGCTTTTCTAAAGCTACACCGAGAAGGTTCCCTCGTACACCACAAACTCCATTGTGTACCCCCGAAAGGCTGCAAAAATCCCCTGCAGAAACGGCACCTGCCAAACAGGTCATTTTTAAGGAGTCCTTAAAAGACTCCTCCTCACATGGCTGGGATTCACCATCTCAACCAAAAGTCACTCCCCTGAAAGGGGTGGCAGAAGGAGGTGCCTCTCCTCTTGAAAAGACACCAAGAACTCCCAAGAGGCCAGGTGGTCAGCCACCTGGATTTTTGCAGAATTCTACTTGGCCACCTTCAGTGAATTCCAGTCCAGAAAGCACCTCCTGTCTGGAGGCCCCAGTTCCGTCAACTGCCTGGGCCGGGGATGAGTGTCCGACTCCTGTCCGGTACTCTCTTAGAACGTCTCCGAGAGCGGCAGCCTTGGGGGTGCGAAGAGAAACTGCTGTCAGGGGCACACCTGTGAATCAAAAACACCAACATCCCCCTGTCCCTGGAGCTTCTCAGGCAGAGGAGGCAACCCAGAAATGGAAGGATAAAGCTGTCAAAACCCCAAAGAGGCCAGGGAACACAACTATGACTTCTTCCCCACCTATGTCTCCAAGGAAACCTTTTACCTCTCCTTTGTGTGATATTTCCAAGAGTCCATTTAGGAAATCTTCAATAGACTCTCCTCCCCCTGGAGAACTGGATTGGAAAGAGTCCCAGAAATCACCCTGTGTAGCCACATCTCTCCCCTGTCCTGCTCCCTCAACTCCCCCTCAAATCTCACAGATAGCTAAATCTGACACCAGCCCCCCTCAACCCCCTTCTAAAATTGGGAAAAGGCACAGAAAGACCTCTAACCCTGAAAGAAGCTTCCTGCAGTGCCAGCCCAACACCTCTGCTGCTCCTAGGGTTGGCATAAGTGACAACCCATCTGCCATCACTGATGCTGGGAAGGACAAGAAAGAAGTGACCCCCTCTCCTCAGACTTTCCCTGAGAGACATGGTCACCCTGGGCCTGGTTTCAGGAGTGATTGGCATATATCCTCTCCTTTGCTTATTGCAAGTGACACACAGTATCTCACTCTTCTTGATGAAGCTGGGGGCTGTGGCAGTGGTAACTTGGAAAGTAACGTTTCTCCAGTGGAAGAAGGTGAGGGGTTAGGGATGGTGGTTGCTGATGACAAGCCTTCTCTGTCTAACCCTGGGATTCCTCCTTCCTCTGGGCCCAGCTCTCCCCTGACACCTTCCTACGACCTGTGCTGTACCGCAGACAGTAGGCAGTGCCAGGCTGCCACACAACTAGAGAACCTGCAAGCTTCAACTTGGCTTTCGAAAGCTTCTGCCAGCCCACAGACCTATGAGGTTGAGCTGGAGATGCAAGCTTCTGGCCTTCCCAAGCTTCGAATTAAGAAGATAGACCCCAGCTCGTTGGCAGAACCTGAGCCCCTAAGAAGAGAAGAGAGCTCTCTAGGAGAGGAGAGCTCCCTTCCTGGTCTCGGCATGCCCAGGGGCAACAAGTCCTCAGGCAAACCTGAAAGCACCTGCATGTCACCCCCCTGCCCTTGCCCCTCGCACAGCACCCCCGGCAAGAGTGGGGGACAAACCTATATCTGCCAGTCCTGTACCCCGACCCGCTGCCCCTCTAGTACCACCTCTCCATTTCAAACAGACATCGGGGTTTCTTGGACACCATCTCCCAAGCACAGTGGGAAGACGACTCCCGACACAATTAAAGACTGGCCACGGAGAAAGAGAGCAGTGGATTGCAGTAGCAGCACCTCTGCTGGGAGGGGTGACGTCAGCACAGACCTTCCTGGAGGCATATCGCTGCTCGAGCTGGAGGGAAAGGAGCAAGGCCTTGAACTCAGCGTCAACAAGACTCCCATCTTGGGGGATTTTGAGCTTGAGGGGGTGTGTCAGCTGCCAGACCAGTCACCTCCCAGGGACAGTGTGCCTAAGGCTGAGGAAGCCTTCTCCTGGGGACAGTTTGGGTTGGGTTCCAGGAAGAGACTCCTTTCTGCCAAGGAAGAAGCCGAGTGTCAAGCCAAAAGAGTCTGTGACAAGCAGAGAGAAGACTCAGAATTTAGTAAGGGTGAAGAGAGGTCCCCGAGTGCAAGTGTGCGGCAGCTCCCCTCCACAGGGGACGACGAGGTGTTTGTTTCAGGTGAGTGGTGGCTGTTGGACAGTGTTTGGTGATGGGGCATTCAGAAGTTGCTTCTTAAGAAGGCTCAGGCTTCCTGGTTTGGGGCCCTGCAGTGCTGACCGTGTGCCATCGCCTTAGGTTCCACCCCACCCCCTGGCTGTGCCGTGAGGAGCTGCCTCTCTGCCAGTGGTCTCCAGGCTCTGACCCAGTCTCCACTGCTGTTCCAAGGGAGAACACCCTCCTCTCAGTATAAAGACGCCAGAGGTAATCTGTTGACAGTCCTGGAGACTCTTACCAGGATCAAACTTCTGTCCTTTGGGTGACTCCCCAAGTTAGCTCAGGGTTGCCAGACAATTGAATTTTGGAGGAGTCAGAAGGCATTCCCTGAGTATGGGACAGATGGTTTTGTCCCTACAGTGTCATGTGCCCTTCCCAGAGAAACTCCACATTAGAACTTCTGTGCATTTGAACAGAAATCCCCTAAAAATCCTACCAAAATACTTCAGCTGCTTGAAGACGGTGACCAAAGTGGGCATACGACAACATGTATGCTCATCTGCAGTCACTGGGCTCTGAGGAGTGTTCAGAGCAGCACAAGTGACAAGTGGTATGTTCGGAGCAGCCGTTTCCCTGCAGTGGGTCTATACTCAGGTGTTTCTGTCATCCTGAGTGATAAAGGACTGGCTGTTGTAATCAGCCTTCAGACTCTAGGAGTCCCCATTTCTCCGTCCACGTGGAGAGAACTGGATGGAGCCTGTTGACTGCACTGGTTGGAAAGGTTTCCTTCTGCTGCTAGAACTGACGGGAGTGCAGGAGCTAAGGCCTTCAGTGGTCCTCTTCCCTCAAGACTATGATAGGAATCATGCAAAATAGCATAAACCCCACAGATCTGAGACAAAAAGAATGTGCAGACTATCAAACTGAAGTACCCCAGGTCCTTGGCATTTTCACAGTTCCTTATTGCTGTCAGCTCAGTGCTGACATTAAGGGTGGAGGGCCTTGTACAAAGTGAAGGCAACATTTCTGCAGGATGAGAGAACCTGCGAGCAGTGTTGGTTTTCATAAGTCCATCTTCACATGTAACCCTCTGCAGTTCAAGCCCATTTTCTTTTGTTCCGTCCTCAGTTACTTCCTGCGTGCTAATTCTTTCTGCCTTTTTCTAGATGAGGATGTGGATGTATTTCCCCCTATGACAGAAGAATCACCTTTCAGCCGAGCAATCTCCAGGAGACGCCCCATCAGCAGAACTTACACACGGAAGAAGCTGATTAGCTAGTTAGGATGGAACTGGTTGGGAGACTTAACTACAGACACTACTGAACTTGTCCAGAGCCACTGCAGTCTCAGGACAGGAGAAGTGCTCTGAGAGTGGTTTTCTCTGGATGTATCAGGAATTCCAGATGCATACCATAAAGGAATTCTTAGCAGTGTATCCAGAAACTCACTTCATCTGAGCCAGGGCCCTACTGATGTGCATCATATGTAACCCTGGGCTTGCTGCACAGAAATAGGAATATGCAACTGAGGAAGTTCAAAAGATGAAGGTGAAGTCAGCCAGGTCCCCATGGGCATAAGGAAACCTGTCCCCAAGCTTCTTTTACCACAGTCAGCTTTAAGAGTCCCACTAGAACGCCTTAGGGTTTTCAAATTCCCCTCCTGGAATCCATCCACCCCAGGCCCCGCCCTGACCCACCACACTGACCCCTTGTTAGGGAGGTGGACCAGCTGGTGTAACTCAGAGGCAGGTGGCAGTCAGGAACCAGCGAAGGAAGTGCAAGACCAGGATCCCATTCCAGCCCACCCCCCACCCCGCCCCCGACCGTAGCAAGTCAGAGGACCACTCTGCCTCACTTGCAAAGTGGGAAAAAGGACCCCCACACAGGTTCTTCACAGAGCTGTTATCAGGCGGGGACCCCGAGACAGAAGCAGTGCTTGTGAACAGAAGCACCATACGTAAAACAGAAGACTGTGTCACAGGTGGCAGAATAAATTTTTTGTATTCCGTGTGTAACAATAAAATCCTCTCTGGCTATTTAGCATTTGGTGCATTTCTGTGTAATGCTCCAGCCCAGGGTTAACTATGACCATGGTCCATCTCTAGTGATTTCTGAAGCATCCACACCTCAAGGTCTGCGCTGAGAGTCAGCCACTCCACAGACAGACAGTCCTCCCCGTTAGTGGCGAGACTGTCCTCCAAGTCGTGGATCTTCCTGGAGTGCCCATGGACCAGCTTGCTGTCGAATCTTGGCCAGGGACCTGGCTAACAGTGAGGGCTGACTCAGAACTGTCTCCAGGTCTCTGAAAAGCTTTCAAGCCTATTGTGTTCCTAAACCTGATTTCTACTATTGTCTTGTAAACCAAACTCTAAGTGAAAACTCCCATTTGTCCCTTAAGAGATTATTCTTGTTTATTATAAAATGCTTCTACAAGATTCTAGAAATATGCTAGGCTTCCCAAGTCCCTCTCACATACATAAGACATTTAAACCACAACCCTGGTGCCACTGACCATTCTGTGACAAACCACAACCCTGGTGCCACTGACCATTCTGTGACAAACGTTGGCTGGCCCCAAAGCTAATGGCCCATACACATAGGCTTGAGACCAGAATTGTCCTGAAACGCAAGCCAAAAGGTGGCAGTCGGGTTAGACGGCTTAAAGGAAGTGAGTGGTAGGAACCTGCATATTTTTTTAAGAAATGTTTTGAGTCCAGTTCTTTTGGGCTTTGGCCCAAATCTTGACTAATTAGTGTGAAGATCAGGACCTGATTGAGAGTGTGAGGTAAGGACTGTCCTTCACAGAAGCAAACACAGGCCCCGGCACCTTCAGCAGGCTCGGACTCTCCCTCCAGGCGGCTCTGCCCAGGAGCCTACAGTGGGTTTCTCCTGACGTCGATCATCCCTGGGCTGGCTCTCCGCAGTTCCCGCCGGGGCTTGGACAAGGGCCCGAGGTTCCAGGGCAGCCCCACCTCACCCACAGGGAGCACCCGCCCCACCAGGGACTCAGTGGCCTCCCGCTGCTGCAGCTCCTCAGAAGAACCCTGCTCCTCGCCACACAGGCTCGAGCGTTTCCATGTCAATGGTAACGGGGCGTTGACCAAGTCCCGCATCTCCTCCCGGGCGCGGGGGACACCCTCAGCAAGTGGGGACTGCCAAAGCTCAGGCATTGGGTGGAGCTCATCTTCATTTCCAGGGGGCTGTCTGTTCTCCAGGCACGGGGTCCTCTTCTCCCCACCTGTCACCAAGAATGACATTCTTGTCAGAAACGGAGGTGGCAGCACCTTCCTGAAGCCCTAGCCTCCCAACACCCAGTGCAATAAGCAACGTGTGAAATGACCCAACAAGTCACCGCAACTGACGTTACAGTGGTTTCTGGGCTTTCCCCAGAACAAGGGAATCAGCCTGACGCTGCAAGGCAGGGCAAAGCACAGTCCAGCCCGATGACGGCAGATCGAGATTACCCCTGCTCTGGCTGGCGGCATTCACACTGCTGAGCTTCTGTTTCAGTTCCTGGTTTATCCACATGTGGCGGCCCAGCTCCTTCTCCAGAGCTTGAATCCTGGTCTCATACTGCCTCTTGCTGTCTGCTAACCCTTCACCAAGGTGGTCTAGAGGGGCAAGGCAGAGAAGAGGGTGGTGAGGGGCTGCGGGCAGGCAGCAGCCACCACAGTCTGGGGGGCAGGCCAGGGCCTGGGCACGAGTCTGGCCAGGGGCGCCTCACCTCGACTCTGCTGGAGGAGGAGCTGGATGTTCTGCTCGTGCTCCTTCTGCTGCAGGGTCAGCTGGCGGTCCATCTCCAGGCGCTGCCGCTCCAGGGCCACCTCCAGCCAGTAGACCAGCCTCTGCTGCTCCTCGAGCTGCATCTCCAGCTCCGAGAAGGCAATCTGCTGCTGGTGCTGCTCCTCTCGGAGTGTCACCACCTGTCCCAAGACCCAGCCAGGCTCAGCCCCCAGCACTGGCTCCCTTTGCCCAGGTCATCCTCATCCAGGGACAGCAGCTATCTGGCAGACTTGCCACCACCGTCCCATCGCAAATGACTTAAGAAATAACCGGGGTCTCCTGCTGAGGCTTGGCCTCAGACACCTTCTCAACTGTGTTCTAGGCAGCAATTTCCAAATGATGAGAGTCAGCTCTCAAGATGAATCAGATTTGCCATCCCTGCCTCCAGCTCTGTCCTGGTCACATGCTACTAAGCTGCTAGCGGAGCCTCAAGCTGGGGGATTTCAGTGAGGCCAGGATTTCTCAACCTCAGCATGGCTGACATTTTGGGCCCGATCATTCCTGGTGGTAGGGGAGGGGCCTGTCCTGTGCGTTGTAGGATGTTTAGCAGCCTCTCTGGCCTCTAGCCCTACTGTTGTGACAAAGAAAAGTATCTCCAGACATGGCCAAATGTCCCCTGGGGGGCAAAATCACTCCTATCAAGAACCACTGCTCTGGGCCAGGGCCGCCCTGAGGGTGCCAGTCAGACCGGCAGGGGAGGTGGAGGAGACTGGGTCTTCATTTCACGAAGTAAAATAGGCCTTAAAGAGGAGAGTCTGAGGCAGCCCTGGAGACTGGAGTTGGCCCTGATTCTGTTCACCCTGAGAGGAAACGGTATTTTCTGGAGCTGCCATCATACACCTCCCAACATGAGTTCCGGAAGGAGGCGGCAGGGGGTCCGCGGGCTGGCGATTCACCTTGTCAAAGTACTTGCAGAGCAGGGCTCTGGTCTCGGAGGATGAGAGGTAGCTGAGCTTGGCCATGAGGTTCATCTCGCACTGGGACAGCAAGGAGGCTGAGGCCCGCAGCACCCGCTGGCGGCACGTGATGGCCTCGTTCTTGTACTCGATGGCAGCGTCCAGGGCCTCGATGGCCTCATCCAGCTGGAACAGCGTCCGCTCCTCCTGCGGGGACATGGGCATGCGTGGAGGGGAAGTCCTGGCTTCCTGCACTGTGGAACGCCCGCTCCCTGAACAACGAAGTTCTAGGCAGACATGCGACAGTCGGCACGTAGCCACAACTGAGCTTTTAAGTGACCCCTCGTCGTGAGCATGTGGTCAGCACGTCAAGACGGGTGCCCCTGCCCACTACGGCAGGAACACGGAAGCCTCCATCACAGCCCCAACCCTGGGGGGGAGGCCAGGGCTCTGCCACGAGACTGCTTTCTGAAGGGCATGGCCTCTCAAGTCATCTACACTCAGGAAGCTCAGGGTACCCTACACTGAAAGAAGGCATGGCAGGACTGCCCAGCGGACCACAGGGTCTGCTGGGGTCAGCTATCTTAACACAGGCTCTCTCTGCTGCTCAGGGAAGGCAAAAATGTGGCCATAAGGTACACTGAGGTGCTGCCTGTGCTCATTCCACACAGGCAGCTGAGCTGTGTGAGCATGCGGTCGATGCGGCACATGACGCAGAATGAGCCAGACTCCAGCTGGAAGGGAATGAGAGGGCGACAAGGCCCAGCCCATGTGTCCCAGACAAGGGGGCAAACATAGGGGCAAAAGGGCCAGTCCAGCACGCTCCCCAGCCCCCACCCCACCTTTGTGGGCGAACACACAGGAGGAACTCCAAGAGCAGCAAGGCCCAGTACCTGGCACAGAGCCAGAGCCAGGAGGCTGAGGAGCAGAGAGACAGACGGACGATGGAAGCCCAGGGCCAGGCCAGGTGGCTAGCCCACAGGGCGTACCTCGGGCGACAGCAGGCTGCCCTGCCTCAGCTTGCCATCGATCTCCAGGCGCTGCTTCAGCAGCAAGTCCTTCTCCTGGCGCAGAGTGTCAATCTCCCCACGGATCTGCTGCTGGCTCTGGGCACTGCCCTGCCGCAGCTGCCCGCTCTTCTCGGAGAGCTCCTTCTCCAGGTGTTCCAGCCGGCTGGACACGCGCACAATGTCCTCGGTGAGGGCCTGGGACAGCACCGCCAGAGATTAGGGAAGGAGCAGGCGCCATCCTCACAGGGGTGACAGAAATGGCCCAGCCCAGCCATCAGATGCTAAGGAGGCCGCAGGCCCTTCCCTCAAGCATCCTACAATCCAGGAGTGCTGCTCAGCGGGGAGGCCTGACTCTCGGTTCCATGGAGTCTCAGGCAGTGGGGGCTGATGGGACCAGAGCCCCTGAGGAGGGGCCCCCAGCGATGGCCCGGAAGGGGGATACAGACAAGCAGAGGAAAAGGCACTCCTGACAAGAAGGGGACGACACAGGCAAAGGCACAGCAGGGGGGTGCTGGCCTGTCCTTAGATGACTTGACTGTAGAGTTTGTGATAGGAATCATGGGAAATTAGTGGCCGAACCCTGAAGGCCCTTCCGGGAGTCTGATATGGGAGCAAGTGAGGGCTCTAATGGCGAAGTTACAGATAATCCAGCAGCACCCTGAACCTCCTGGACTTCAGAGTGCTCCATGGGGGCAGGAGTGGGGCTGGAACCCTGTGGACTGCACCTGAGCACCTGCTCCTGGAACACGCTCTGGGTTTTGTGTTTGACATACCCCTACAATCCTCACGGCAACATTATGATTCTATTTGACAGAGGAGGAAATTGTGGCTCAGCAGCTTCCTACTCAAGAGCCAGGTGGAGCTGGGTGGGACCAGGTCCGTGTGCCCAGGTCTGTCTGCCTCTAATGCCAGTGAAGACTCTCTCTTTGGCCATACCACCGTTCTATACCTGCTGTTCCTTGTTCGGCCTGTGCACTCCCAGAGCAGGTGGTTATGGGTGAAATGAATTATAGGATGGATACTTGGAGAGGTTCTTTTACCCCCACATCAGAACTCGTGTCATAAACATCCTAAGGCCCTAGAGTTCTTGAAAGGATATAGCCCAGTAGGACAGAGCTTGACCTGGCTGGAACTTACCTGGCAGGGACATCACCCAGAAGAACCTCACCTGTCTAGACCTTACCTGGTAGGAACTCACCTGGCAGGGTTAGCACCTGGAGGGACCTCACTTGGCTAGACTTCACTTGGACGGCCCTCACCGGATGGAATCTCACCTGGCAGGACCTCACCTAGCAGAAACTCAGCTGGCAGGCTCTCCCCTGGCGGGACCTCACCTGGCTGGACCGCAGGCGCTTGCTCTCCAGCCCTGTCTTCTCCTGCATCAGGGCCTCTTTCTTGGCCAGGATGGCCTCCCGCTTGTGGAGCTCCTCCCCCAGCTCCTCCAGGGCCCGCCGCTGCTGCAGGACCTTCTCCATCTCCTGGTCCAGCCACTTCTTCTGCTCCTCGATCTTCTGAGGGAAAGTGGGGGAGGGAATCAGCTCACACCTCTGGCTCTGTGGGCCACCACCCCAGGTCAGATGGGGAGAATGGTGTACCCACCAGCTGACCCCCAGGGGACCCTGGCAGCTAGCCAGGGCTGCCCAGCCAGGCTGTGGGTGCTCCTGGGGTGCAGGCTCAGCCCAGCCCCACCTGCTGCTGCTCCAGGCTGACGACAGAGCCGTTGCTGCCGCTGCGCCGCTTCCTCTGGAATGCCGCAATCTCTTCTGTCTTGATCTTCAGGATCTTCTGCTGCTGCTCGTGCTTCAGCTCCAGCTCCTGGGGATGCGCAGGGTGAGCAGCTCAGTGGGCAGGGCCATTTGTTGTGCCAGCATCTTACCAGAGCCCACAGGGGTGCCTGCCTCCTCCCGAGAGAGCCCTGTGCAGCGTTCCCCAGCCTCACCACCCTCGAGTCTCGCTGGGACCAGCAAACAGAAGCAAACCCTTATCTAGTTCCTATAAGCTGCCAGTCGCCTTATATGGTTCATCTCACTGAATTCTCACCCTAGCCTTGAATTTCCTATAACTCTCCTCATTTTCAGGTGAAAAAACAAACTCAGAGAGGCCAAGTGACCTGCTCTATAGGGTCACATGACTGTGAGCAGGGGGGCAGGGACAGAGCCTGCCTGGGCCCCCTGGCTGTGCCCCCGACTCGGCCTCCAGGCCTGGGCACAGGCGCCCCCCACCGCCCCAGCCAAGAGCCAACCTTGACGCGGTGCTGCCGCTTGCTCATCTCTGTCTCCAGGCGCCGCTTCTGCTCCGTCTCCTCTCGAAGCCGCCTCTGCAGCCGCCCCTGCTGCTGCCGCATGAGCTGCACGTTCCTCTCGAGCTCCTGCAGCCGCTTCTCGCTCTGGGCAGACAGCGACACCAGCCGCTCCGTCGCCTGCTTCTTCTCCTTCAGCACCTGGGACCAACACAGCTCTGCTGGGCCACGCACGGGGGCTGCCTCGAGCCTGGCACAGTGCAATGGCACTCAACAAGGGCGGGCAGGACCAAGGACGGATGAAGGGATAGAGGGACAGACAGAAGGGAAAACAGGTGGGTGGATAAAGGATTAATAATAATAACGAAACTCTAATAATGGGAGGTAGTATGACATTTACTACGTACCAGGAATTCTAGCAAATGCTGTGTATTAAATGATCCTAACAATCCTATGAAATGGTATGATTATTATTATCCCTACTTTACAGATTAGGAAACTGAGGCACAGAGAGGTTAGGAAACTTGACCAAGAACACACAGCTAGCAAATAGCAGAGCTGGGATTCAAACCCAAGCAGTCAGGCTCCAGAGCCCACGCTCTCAACCACTCTACTGAATTGTCTCTTGGACACCTGAACTGGGGAAAGAAGGAATGAAAGATGGATGGACAGCTGCAATGATGGATGAATGGAAGGGTGGGTGGACAGACAAATGGATGGGATCATATAAATGTGAAAAATACAATGGCCAGAAAAATGTATGAATCAATAAAAGGGAACAGAAAGACGAATGGATAGATGGATAAATGGACAGTTGGTCACATCAGCTGATAAAAGGATAAACAAATGGATTAGATGGACACATGGACTGATGGGCAGACAGAGGGAAGACAGGATGGAGAGGCAAGGGAATGGAGAGCTGGAAGGGTAGACACATGGATTGTGTGGGGGGGGGGGCCTGCATAAGGAAGGGTTGATTTTCTTCTGATGCCCACCCCTCACCCTCTCATTGGTTTCCTGGATGGTCTTCGGGCAGGTCCCGCCTCCCTGCCTCTGCCACGTTTAAAGCTGAGCTGAGCCCCAGTACTGGCAGCTTCCACATACTACCAGCCTCACCCTGGGAGGCCAGGAGGGCATCAGCACCACCAGCCAGGGGCTGGGGCACCAGCTTCCACAGGGAGCTTGATACCAGGACCCCAGCTTGGGAGGCCACGGCTGCCACCCCCGGGGTCCTGACACTGACCTGCACCTGGCTCTGGGCGGCAGCGACCCTCTTGCGGAACTCCTGGAGCTGGGACCGCTCACCAGCGTCCTGGGGCTCCTTGCCCTCAAGCTCCCGCAGCTGCCTCTGGCCTTCGCTCAGCTCGGCCCGCACCCGTTCTGCCTCCTGCTCCAGCTCCCGGATGCGCTGGCTGTGCTGGCGGTTCAGGGCCTGGGCTGCCTTCCCTGGAAGGAAGGGGGGCCGCGTCAGCACAGGCAGCCCCTTTCCCCCGGAGGACCATCTGTTCACTCCCCTGGGAGGTTTACCAGCCCTCTGTCAGCCATGGACACCGACACAGGTTTTGCCAACCTTTGTACCACTAGTACCATAATTTACTTCATATTTTTCTTTAAATCAACTCACTTTTTAAATTAGCCTCGTCCACAGCAGTGACCCAGGGAAATTATGGGTTACCTAGTTTTATTTTTACCTAATACATGCTAAAATAAGTACATAACTTGAGCCTACATATAATTAAGCCTCTAGAACTAACTTTGATTTGCAGGAAGTATGGAGGACAGAGCAACAAGTGAAATGACACCACAAGGAAGCAAACAGACAAAGCCAGAACATTTGGGGTTTGAAACATTCCACAGGCTGGCTGTGCAGAGGTGAGAGAAGGGGGACATCAGAGTCCTCACAAGCAAGTGCAGTGCGGGGAACAAGCCTGGAGCCTGATTCAAGCAAACGAGCTCCACACGGACATTGTGGAATAATCGCAGGGACCCGCGGATGCTCAGAGCATTGAGGTGACACTAGTTTTCTTAGATGTGCTAATGGCATTTTGGTTAAAATGTCCAAAAAGAGGCATACTGAAAGGTGTAGGGACGAAGTGACATGATGCCTGATATTTGCTTCAACATATTTCAGCAATGAAAAAAGGGAGAGGAACCAAATGTGGGAAAATCTGGATAAATGCTAAAGCTGGGTGATGGGTATACAGGGACACACTGCACTAGTCTCTTTTCTTCTCATATGTCTATGGCATGAAAATTGTCATAACGCATTTTATAATAAACAAATTGATAACTATAAAAATGAAAAGGCTCAACTGGTCACCTCATAAAATCACCCCCTGCCCCTCCACCCATATCACCAGCAGTAGATGTGGCAGGATGTGGGGACACTGCATGCTCCTCAGGATCGAGAGATTCTATGCCCAGCACAGTGCGTGATACAGCAGGCATTGATAAATAATAATAACAGGTAATGCTTCCTGAGAGCTATTGTAAGCACTTTTCCTGAATTAACTCATTTCATCCTCACGACACCCCTAGGACGCAGGTACAATTACTATCTTCATTTTAGAGATGAGAAAACGGAGGCTTAGAGAAGTTATCCTACTCGCGCAAGGTCATACAGCTGTAAGAGGCTGAGCTGGGTATCAAACCTAGGCCATCTGCCCCCTGCTTCTTTTTATTTTTTTTTAATTTTTATTTATTTATTTTTTCCCCCAAAGCCCCAGTAGATAGTTGTATGTCATAGCTGCACATCCTTCTAGTTGCTGTATGTGGGATGTGGCCTCAGCATGGCCGGAGAAGTGGTGCGTCGGTGTGTGCCCGGGATCCGAACCCGGGCCGCCAGCAGTAGAGTGCACGCACTTAACCGCTAAGCCATGGGGCCGGCCCAGCCCCCTGCTTCTAACCACCCTCAGGTGGAAGGCCCACCCCAATGCCCGCCCCCTCACCTGTGCGGACCAGCTCGCCAATGAGCTCCTCCTTCATGCGGATGTTGATGGCCAGCTCCCGGATCTTCTGCTGGGCTTGGGCCAGCCGCCACTCAGAGGCCATGGCAGCAGGGGCCTGGCAGCGCCGAGCCTGGGCCTTGCTTCCACCAACTGCTGTAACAGGCCGACTGTCAAGGCTGCTCCCCAGCTGAGAGTGGGGGAGGCCGAGGAAGGGTGAGGAGAGGCATGCCCCAGGCAGGGGTGGCCAGGGATGATGTGTGGACTGTCTAGGGTGGCCAATTCAGGACCATGGAGGGAAGAAGGGCTCAGGGCCCGCTCTGTGCCCAACCAGCTCACCTCTGGGCCCCGGGATTGCTGCACCCAGCTCCTCCAGGCGAAGCTCTGGACCCTTCCTGTCAGGTGGACTCCCCGGGTGGGCCCCTGTCCTCTGGCTCCACTTGCTGATCCTGTTTCTGGAGGGCAGAAGCAGGAGGCAGTGCAACCCCGGGGTGTCAGTCTGGCAGAACTCTGAGGCTAGGGGCCAAGCTCAGGGGAGACAGGGCAGCTGGGGGCACCAAGGGCCGCCTGGGAGGCTGAGAACCAGGAGGCCTGGGCCCACCCCGCAGCATACCTCCCACCCTCCGCGAGAACTCTTGGTTCAGATCCACAGCCCCTGACCGCTCTCCCCCAAGGGCTGACCAGGGCAATGTAGGAGAGAGCACCCTGCGACCACAGCAGGATCTTCCTCTGGCCCAGCCCAGGCCCTGAGCCGGTCCTTGTCAGGTCGGCAGCGGGTCCCACTCACCTGCGCAGGTGCGGGGTCCGCCGCGCCAGGTCCTCCTCCTCTGCTTTCTCCTCCTCCTCCTCTGAGGCAGCTGAAGAGCCACTTCCCAGCATGTCTACCTCCGCCAGCAACTTGGCTCCAGATTCCCTGCCATTTGTCACCTGCTAGAGGAGTGGCAGCGTCTCAGGACAGGAAGCTTCTGGGGTATCCCCCATCCGCCATTTCCCATCACCAAGTCCTCGCTCCTCCCTCTGCCCTGCCTTGCATGCCCTTCTCACACCTCTACCTTCTCAAGGCCGACCTGACCTTCAAGAACTAGCTCAAACAGCACCTCTGGGCAGCCTTTCCAGTCTCAAGTCAGAGCAGGGCTTCCTCTTCCCCCCCCACCCCCGCTCTGGCTCCCACAGCACCTGGTTCCCCTCAGGGGACAACCTGCCCTCTGTCTTGTATACAGGTCATCTGCACCCAACTCGAATCTCACCAACAACGCTCTGCCAGAGTGGCGTGTGCATAAGAGACGTGTGCCAAACCCACGGCCTCCCGCTCCTCAGGCCCTCGGGACTTAGAGCTGAGCTAGCTCAGAGCTTTCAAATAGACGCAGGAGCAGCCATTGCCCAAAAGGCCCCAAGTGACAGAACCAGAAGCAGGAGACCAGGCTCAGGGCGACGATGAGGGCTCATGGGAAAGTGAACTTTCAAAGACAGGCATCCAAAGACGGGGGAGTGGCCTCAGAGGTGAGAAGCTCCCGGTCTCTGGAAGCGTGCAAGCTTCCCATGTGGTGCTGGAAGCCAGAACCCCCTCTGTAACCTTCTCACTGCAGGCAATCTCCAGCTACCCCAGGGATGCCCAATGGCACCAGACCCTTCTGAGAGACCCTACAGAGTCACCCAAATCTTGGCGCTTCCTCCAGGGACACCAGAAAGGGGCATCACACAGCCGGTCCCATGAAAGCATGGGTGAGGAACACATTCCCCAGCATTGCCCTGCCCCTGCCCGAGCCTGCCCAGTCCAGCAGACCCAGCAGCCACCCATCCTTGCCACCTCCTCACCTCTCCCCAATTCTCAGGGCCAACCTGATCTTCAGGAAGGCAGGCAGGGGGCACCATGCCCAGTACACGGGTGTGGGCAGCCCCCAGGGGGGCTGTGTGAGGCCGGGGCACAAAGGACCCAGGAGGCACGCCCTGCAGGAGCCCTGGGGCTCCCCAGCCAGGGCGCACCAGCTCTAGCCGCAGCCGCAGCTCCGCCATCTCCTCCTGCTGCTCACGCAGACGGTCGCTCTGCAAGACATGGTCCAGGTGCAAGGGAGGATGCAGATGCTGGGGTGCGGGTGCAGGGATGCTGACAGGCAGAAGTGCAGGAAACAAGAACAGGTGTGAGGCCACCCCACCCTCTCTGGGCTAAAACTGAGGAGGCCAAATACCTCTGAGACCTCTTGCCCTCCCGCCCCCAACACACACACACATCCTGCACTAGTTCAGGCTCAAGCTCTCACTCCACCCTGCCGCGTCCTCTCCCTCCACGCCAGTCCGCCACGTCCATGCCAATCACTGCCACCAGAGGGCGCCAGGAGTAACACCGACCTAGTTACCTCGTGACAAAAGGAAGAACCTGGCTCCAGCGTCCCACCCTGCTGCCCCTCCAGTCCCACCTCTCATCTACAGGCATGACCATCCCGCACACCCACCCGCACCATTCTGTTCCTCACCTCCACACCTTTGCTCACGTTGTACATTCCCCAACCTCTACCCACCCTATCAGAACCCCTCGAAGGCTAACTTTCTCTAATCCTGGGAAACTCAACTCAGTTTCACCTCCTCAAGGAAGCATCCCCTGCACTATGGAAGGGGGTGGCCCCACCTGCAGTTTGTACTGCTCCATGGCGTCCTCCAGCGCAGCCAGAAAATCTCTGTTCTCCTCCTCCAGGCGGGCCACCTGGCTCTGCAGGCCCAGCAGCTGCAGCGCCCCCTCATCTTCCTATGGGGCAAGGAGAGGCTTCAGGGCCAGGAGCCGGCGGGACCAGACTGCCTGTCCCTGGGACACCCTGGCCCTCTCTCTGCCCGGCCAGGAGTTCCCCTAGCCCTGCAATGGGGGCTCCACACCCCACCTGGCATGTGGCGCCCTCTGCAAGCCATTTGGGCCATCTAATTATTAATCCTGTTTTTATTAACAATAATATCACCACCGTTATTAGGAACAACTCTCTGAGCTTTGACCAGTGTGCTGGGCACTCATTACACCTTCAGCCTTCACGACATCCCCAAGAGGTAGATACCGATGTTCTCCCTCTTTTACAGATGGAAACCCTGAGGCGTGCTGAGGTTAAGGAAAGTGACCAAGGTCATCAGAAGTGCCTCTGAATCCCAAATAGGCTCTGCTAGTGGGCAGGGGCACAGCTGGCTGTGCGAAGACCTTCTTCCTTCCCCTTCCCCTCCGCTTCCCGGGGCCACACCTGGCCCTTGGCCACCTTTCGCGCGCCGGGCGCCTGCGCGGCCTGCTCCTCGGCGGAGGCGCTCTCAATGCCGCTGTCGGGCCCGGAGGCGGAGCTCAGGGCGCTCCGCTCGCCTTCGACGGCGCACAGCCAGTCGTGCACCTTGCGGGCGGCGGCGCCGGGCAGCCCAGGCTCGGCCTGCAGCTCGCGCAGGAGGCTGTAGGCGGCGTCGGTGCGGGCCCGGTA